TTTATCTTCCCCTCCATCTGAATGTGGCTGTAGGGAAGTGAACCTCTCTGAAGCTCGCTTCATTAACCTGCCAGGTGGTGGAAGACACCAGGCCCTGATTGAACTGCAGCCAGAGCTGCTGCTTTGAAGAGAACGAGGGACAGAGATAGAGAGCGGAAGACATTCAGTCAAACTTATTCTGCCTCTCCATGTCAGTTAAACAGTCGTGGCATGATTATGGGATCGTTTCTAGAACAGTGCAGCAAGCGTTTGTGTGCTTTCTCTCATTCGTTTCTCCAGTTGCTGCTGTACTTGATGTTCAAATAGGGCATGGAAGAACATAGACTCTGCTCCATGTTCTCACTTGGGGATTGAATTGAGCTGATTTCTTACGGATGCTGAAGGTCAGACTTGTTTTGAATCGTGGTCCCTGGCCTCTCTCATACTTTTCCTATTATAGTGCCCTCCCTGCTGGCAGCGCGCTCGCGCAGAGCAGCCATTGTTGACTGTGTGGCCATTGTTGTCAGGACACTGAGGGATTCTGGCAAAGTGTGCCATCCTTTGCTAGAGCTCTGTAGTATACAAACGGAAGAGAGACGTGCAGAATTAGGTGCTTAAAGACCTTCAGCCCTGACCAGTGGCTACACAAGCTGTTTATGTTTACCTGTGTATGTGTGAGTGTGTCTGTTTTAGTGCATTTTAAGGACAAAATGCCCTGACTAACTAGAATAAATGGATAAAAAGAGCTTCTTCTTGTTTCTTTTTCTCAGTAAGGGCCTCTTGACAGCTGCACATCCTTTCAGTCTCATAGTGTTGAGTTGTCTTTTTACAGTGAAGGATGGACAGAAACACCTGTGGATTTTTCCAGATCTGAAGGAAGAATGGAGCCTGATTTTCTCCTCTCTCTCAAAGAGGAAAGCTTTAAATACTGTTTATCTGGTGGTGTCAGTTTTGGTGGTCTGCCAGCTCTTGCATGGTTGTTAGGAGTCCCAGTTTCTCTGTATCTTCTAATCATTTTTTGCATCCCATTTTTGGAACCTCCTGTCCTCTTGACCCTTCATTCTGCAGGTGGATTATTTCAAATGTAATCTCCTCAGAAATATTTCCTGACAGTATCGTATGACTAAGTTCATTAGCCTGAGTATCGTTACTGAGCTGTGACTATTTTACTACACATGCAGGTTGCACTGTGTCCAGCCCCCACGTGAAATGAAGATTTTAATTGGTTCTGGTGCTTTTTAATTGACCCTCTGTCTCTTTGTGCTTCTAGATCAAAGGTTTGTGTGGTTAGTGAGGGTGGAGTTTCAAAACATGCGGCCTAGAATGGTGGGGCATTGCCCCAGTAGTTTGAAAAGTATGGGTCAAGTGCCCGCTTGCCCTCCTTCTGGCAGCCATGTGTTAGATTTAAGATTAGCTGGACAGAAGTAGGTACATATATTTACTGTCCAAAAGTTTGTAGACACCTGCTCAACCATTGTTTCTTCTGGAATCAAGCATATTAATAGGGAGTTCTTTGCAGCAATAACAGACTCTTCTCATTTGTGAAGGCCTTACAGTAGGTGTTGGAACATAGCTGTGAGGATTTGGTTGCGTTCAGTCACAGGAGCATTGGTGAGGTCAGGTACTGATGTTGCATAAAATGCCTCTCTAATTCATCCCAAAGATGTGGAACATCACTTCAGAGAATACAGTTGCACTCCTTCACAGCCCAGTGCGAGGGGGTTTTATACCCCTCTAGCTGAAGCTTGGCATTGGGAATGGTGATCTTAGGCTTGTGTGTATTCCATTCTATTGGACATCTATGGAGATTATACAAGCTGTTTGTGTGCAATTGAATGCCTGGGTCAACAAAGAGTTCACCTTAAAGTAGCTGTATAATTATATAAAATATATAATACATATGGGACATATGTGAAACCCCACATCCTGACAAGGTATAAAAATAGACCTGTGTGTAGGCAGAAGGAATGTATGTGTTTAGTTTTGCATCTGTGTATCATTATTCATGACTGTAGTGTTTATTTGCGCTCCTATGTTGTGTGTGTGTGTGTGTGTGTGTGTGTGTGTGTGTGTGTGTGTGTGTGTGTGTGTGTGTGTGTAAGGGTGGATGTAAGAGTTTGTTGACGAAGTGAGCATTTATATGGTCACATGTTCACTGTGTTTAGCTCTGTCTCTCTCAGGCTGCTTCAGGAGCGCGTTGAGGAGTTTTGTGAAGTGTCCTCACGCAAGTCCTGTCTCACCAACCCAAACACATTCTCTCCTCTCCTCTCCGTCCCCTTACGTCCCTCCCACTGTCCTCTAACTCACTCTCTCTCTCTCACTATCCCTCTCACCCTCTTTCTTAGTCACTCCGTCTCTCCCATACTCTCTCTTTTTCTCTCATTCTTTGTTTCTCTCTATCTGTCTTCCTTTCTCTATTCCCCATCTTTCTTTCTGTTTTTCTTCTCCTTTACTCTTTATTTTGTCTTCCTCTCTCTCCTGCATCTCTCTATTTCCCATCTCTCTTTTTCTTTCTTTTTCCTCTCTCTCGTTTTCCCTCTTTTTCCCTCTCTGTCTCATTCTCTTTCTGTCACATTCTCTATTTTTCTTCTATCTCTCTCATTCTCTCTTTCCTGTTTCTCTTTTGCGTTCCCTCTTTCTCTGTTTCTCGCTCCACTTATCTCTTTCTCTTCTCTCTCTATCTTTCTCTGCATTTCCTTCTCATTTGTTCTCATGTTTTTCCTCTATCTTTCTCTCATTCTCTCTCTCTCTCTCTATCTCTTCTCCCTCTCTGCCTCTCTCTATATATATCTTTTTTGCTCCTTTCTATCTGTTCTCTTTTTCTTTCTTTCAGTCCCTCTTATTCCTTTCTCTTCTATCTCTCTCTCTTGTTCTTTCTCATTCATTCTTTCTTTTCCCTTTCTTTTTTTCTCTTTTCTTTCTGTATCTCTTTCTTACTTTCTTTTATCTGTCCTCTTCATCTCTCTCTCTCTCTCTCTTTTTACTCATTCTGTCTCATTCTCTCACCTTCCTCTCTCTCTCTCTCTCTCTCTCTCTCTCTCTCTCTCTCTCTCTCTCTCTTTCTCTCTCTCTTTCTCTCTCTTTTCTAGTTCAATTCATCCTCTCCCCAGTCTCTCTGCTTTTGACACCTGAACTTTTCCTATATTGATATTTTTTCTTGTTTTGTCCTTCCCCATCCCACCGTTTTTAGCCTTAGTCACCGCCGTTATTATTTTTCTTGTCCTGCCACCAGCTGGTTTCCATCAGGCCCAATCAGCGCGCTCAAAAAGCTGCTCCACAGATTTCAGAAGCAACAAAAGCGGAACGCATTTCTTCCGAGCGCTGCTTGCTTAATGAGGCTCGTAGTGTTTGCACATCACTGAACACTGAATCCATGTATGATCTTTTGAGGGCACTGGAAATATCTTCAGTCTGATGCCATGTCTGTACACCACACAGATCCAATCAATGTACGTCACTTTCCTCCGTGTATCATAGCTCAAACCTATACTGAGGAGTTCACGTCCATTTATTTTCAAATAGAATCAATAGAGCGCTGATTTATGCGGCTGTCATGTAGCACGACAGTCCTGTCAGAGACGTGGTTTTGACCGTAATCTGTAATTAAGTAGTTGCCAGCACACAAACACGCAGAGGGTACACAAAACTCGCTTGCCGGCTTACAAAAACAGGGAATTCTTTCATGTGCCTCCCTCCAAAGTTCACATGTGTGAAACAGCTGTGTGTGTGGGTGTGCTTACGTGGGTATGTGTGTGTTCGCTGGCATGTGTGTATTGTAGGAGATCTCATTACGTTGACCTCCACTGGATACCCCTCTTTGACCTGACTGAAACTGATCCAATTGAATTCATAGCTCCTGGGGCTCTTTATTGATCTACTATGCACTCAGGCCACTACAGAGCCCTCAACAGTGTTAGCTTTGATCTGATGTTGATAACTCTTGAGTGAAACCTCAAATTTAGAACCTGAATGTAAACAAAATGCACCAGTCAATGAAACCTGATCGAATATTTGTCACCGTTCACCATTTCCTCCTCTTACCTCCTCCTGACATTTATGTTGCTGGGTGAGAAAAACCTCTGGTCCACTGGTTCACTGAAATGCTACTACAGTCTTAATGTCTGATTTCAAAAGTCCTAAAGAGTGTCTAAGTTCAGTTTGGAAACAGATCTGGTCCTGAAATCTGATTAGCTGAGTCACATTTGAAGCCATTGTAAAATACTTGATATAAACACACATCCTCACTGTTAAAAGTAAACCTTGTATCTTTGAAATGATAACTTTCAAGAGAGAAAAAATGTTCTTTAATCTTTGTTAACAAAACATTTCACATACATTTCTGTTAATTGTTTACACAATATAAGGAGCAGCTGGCATTTTCAAGTGTTTTAAAAAAATAAAAATCTGAAAAACACTGACTTACAAGGTTTTTATATGACACAGATGAAATGCTTGTCTTTGACTATTATGGTACTTGGCAACCACAGCGTACTGTTAACAGACTATACTGCTTGGCGAATGAATTACTTATTGTCAATATAATCAATTATAATTTAAATTATGTATTGAACATTAGTCTAATTTGGCATATTTTACCAATTATGCTTGGCATTACATTGCCTAACAACACCTTAACTGTGGTTAAACCGTTGTAATACATGACATCTCATGGCTTATTGCTTTAGTTTAAGTTACTGAAATTACACGCTCTCTAGGAGTAGAAGTAAAATTATTGTTGTTGGAAAATAAACTAATAGTACTTAGAATTCTTCATTTCTGGTAGACATTTATTTGCCTTCATGTGTATCTGTATTGCCGTATATGTTATAATAGGAGAGAGAGTGTTCAGTGTAATTCTTGCACTACCATTTAAAACTCATCTTTGTGCTAAGATGCTTTTGGGAAACCCAGCCCCTTTCATTAAACAGGTAATGGTAATTCAATGATAGATAATTCCATAAAGGTTCACTGAATTTTTGCATCATAATCTCTTCATTTTATGTGTGTGTTTGTGTTTATAGGATGCTGGAATACTCTCTCAACCTGCAGAATGTCAGTTTTTCTGCTGTTCGTACTGTCCGAGTGCTGAGGCCTCTCCGAGCTATCAACCGAGTGCCCAGTGAGTATTAATACCATTTGCCACTCATTACTAGTGCAATCACTGCAGTTTTATTAGTAATAGTAATATATAAATAGTAGTAAAACGTAATCTACCAATTCTTTGATTGTTAATTAAAGGGCCCATATGATGGAAAACCAAATTTCCCTCATCTGTTTGGAATAAAGGATTTTGGAGTAATATGTCAACCTTATTAAAGGTTCAAAATACATCATTTACTATCCAGTCCATACAATCCATGTGTGGAAACTTAGCAGCAAGAACAACCCACATTCTTAAGTCATTGTTAATGTGATGTCACAAGAACAATTCGTTTACATGCGTCCACCCATTCAGTCTAGTGCAGTTTAGCTCCACCCGTTTGCACTGAAGAGTGTTTCAGCTCTGAGAGCTTGTTGAATGAGGCACAATACAGGGCAGCCAAATAGAACAGAGCTCATTTAGCTTATATCAGTTTTAAAGGTGCAATAACAGAGACAGCCTGTTTAATTCTAGGGGATAAAGAAAGGTGAATGAAAATTAATTATGACCACTTTGGGTACATAAAACCACATGTTGCAAACGGACCTAATGGGAAACAATAAAAATACAAGAATAATGCAGGATATGGGCCCTTTAAGTAAACCTCTCTGTTTAAAAAGAGTAAAAATGATTTTAAGCGAACAATAACAAACCATACATTCACTGCTGATTCACTGTGATGATGAAGATGTGTGGATTGTATACTGTTGTGCATGACACGCTGCCCACCACATGGCAGACTGGGGTTAGGCTCCTTACCTGAGCAATCACACCATGCTATATCAACAAGGGTCTTTGGACAAGACGCCTAACATTACATTCACCTGCCTCTGTAAGATGATACAATTGTAAGTTGCTATGGATAAAAGCATCTTTTAAATGTCCACAGTGTTTTTAAATGTGTGTAAATATCGTATGATGACTAATCATAACTATGCATTAACATGCCTCCCTTGTTTGACGTGCAATGATGTGCTACACTCACAGGGCCTGTGCCATTTTTGAATTTTCATCATTATTCTTTACAGAAAAAGTGTTGTTTCTTAATTTCACAACCCGTTAACACTCCAAAGTGTAGCAGCTGCTGTGTTTAGACGGCATGAATTACAGTGAAACCCATCATGCAGTGTGATTGCAAAATTTTGATTGTGTGATGAGTGAAGATGATCTAATTGACATTTAGTGCTGAAATGTAGCCGCTCTGTGGCGTGCAGTAGCAGTTGCACGCCTGTCAGGCAGCTGAAGGCATGTCCAGCCAGCCAGCAACTCCGTCTTTCCCTTAGCCAGAGCTGCAGCAGCTGCCTCTGTTTACCACTTGTCTCGTGCCATTCAGAGTTTAGGGACTGTAGATTTATAGATTATTTTCCTCTTCGGTGCCTTTTACAACTCGCTGAGACACACACACACATACACACTCACACAAACACGGTTCCATGCCGGAAAGAATAATAATGAAAAGTGTCTCTCTCACATGCAGACAAAGTCTAAGGTGGGGCAAAGATATTTTATATGCCTCCTCACCGTTTACTGACCGGTTTAATCATTCTCTGTACCAAAGAGAAGCCCACTTCACTTGTCATTAATTTTCTGTGGAGCCTCGTATGGCTAATTCTTCCTGAGGGGGCTAAGTAGGATGGTGTAACATATAAATGAACCCTATTAGCCTGACCACCCCTTCAGGGAACAAAACTCCATGTGGGTTTTAGAACATTATTGCTTCTCAAGTCTTTGAGTGATTTTTTAAGACTTAGTTTGTCATTGGCATCCATCATCCAACTACAATACAATTTTTAGAACAATATATAGTTTGTTCTACTGCCTGCCTGTATAGCTTGCTCTGTTGTTTTGTATAGATGAGTTTTCATCTGTCCATCTCCATATGTTACCAATGAAATTCATCTTTGTTGGTAACATATTGAATGCTGATTTAGACATATTTTAAATATTTTATGTCTGTTTTTAAGTGGCATAGCAGGCTAGGAGTGTTGAACAGAGGGATGTCAAACATGCATGATCGTCAGATATTAGGACCACACCTCGGATGTTCTCAGATAGGTCTCATAACTGAAAGTGTTTTATTATATTTCTGTATTGCTTTTTTTGTTGTTCATGGACTAATAGATAAATAGTACTTTATTGGTCCTCACGTTTAAATTTGGGATCCAATATGCAAGGATACACAGATATGAGAATACTGGGCTGATACCGATACCCTGTATTTTTCATGTGCGTATTTGTTGTCGTTGATGCCGATGCAGATACCGTAGAAATTTGAATTAAATTAGGATTAGCATTACAGAGAAATGGAACATGTGTGCAATCACAACCTGAAAATATTTCTGAGTTGACTTGAATACATAATCTGTACAAACAAAACTAAAGTGAAACAGGATATCATATGAGAAAAAAAATGTGTCCTGAGACTCAAAATGAGTATGTTATCTCTCTCATAACATTCCAGCTGCTGAATGAGGTGGTGAAACTCTCTGTGCTTATTTCACTTTCCCAAAATGGAAAGTAGTCCAGCCAATGCCACTGTTTGCCCATTTTGTGAGGAGCAAAAATATCTTTGTTACTTGAAGATTTTATCAAGCCATGAATAACATAGCGATTTATTATTATTATTTTTTAATTGCATCCGGGGTGCATAGCTTTGATGCGAAAAAGAAAGTGTTTGAATTTTCATAATGTTTATTCACGTTGTGTTTGACGTCTTAAGAAACATACACACGCGTTATCTAAGCCGCTTATCCTTCTAGGTCGCGGGGGGGTGCTGAAAGCCCATCCCAGCAGTCACCAGGCAGAAGGCAGGAAACACCCCAGATGGGTCAGTGGTCCAACGCAGGGAGTCTTAAAAAACAGAAACTGAAAAACAAATCTGAGTGTGACAGGATTATTCAGAGTTTATGGGGAACTCGCATTAAACTTGATTCATATCCCTGCCTTACACAGCCATTTACCTCCAAAACTGCAACAAAATCAGGCTTCATATGGGTAAACTGTATGGATTGACACCTGTTAACTAAAGTAGGTAGCTGACAGACACTTGCAGTAGAACATATGCTGCAGCTTTTAAGTTCAATAAATAGCTGCCATGTCATTCTGAAACAAAGTAAGAGGAAAATATGACCCAGTACCTGTTTAGCTAGGCTTAGTTAGCCAGTCAGCTTACGGCTGGCTCCTCAAGATGGTGATTGAGTTATGAAAAGTGGAGATATCGGCAGGCTTCTGGAGGCAGATTCGGCAGCGGATAATGTCATTTTCTTTAGTTCATTGGAAATCAAATGAAGATGACAGTTTGGATAAAGTATGTTCCTCATGTGAGCTGGTAATGTTTTCCTGTTTCTTTTTCCACTAAACTCGATGTCTCTAAATTCATCAGGACTGAAGTGGTTTTGCAGATGGGAGCTGCTCTGTTTCGATTGACTTTCTGAACTGAATATTTTAAATGTAACTAGACTTTCTCCTAATTGGTTTATGAGCTAAAATGTGCATTTATTTTTACTATATAACATGATTAAAATTAAAGTAGCAAGTTTAAAATACTAGAAACTCAAGTAAAAGTAAAGTGAATCTTATTCAATTACTGTTACAAGCAAAAATGTACTCAAGTACTGTAACAAGTAAAACATGTGTTACTTTCCACCACTGGTCAATTGTAATCTGTCCAATGCTGGTAATGCTACTATAGTGTGTAGGAGTGTTTATCGAGTGACATGTTTTATAGGCTGAGGTGGTGTTGAATCAAAGGATACAGCTGTAACATTTCATGTTGCTGTCAAAATCATACAGTCATGCAAAAGTGCAAAATCCTTAAGAAAATGAGTAAAATATTGGTGTGTGTGATACTTAAACTGAGTGTTAGAATTAACACCCAGCAAAGTTTGAATGAAAAAGGCAATATAGAAAAATAATAAAACATTTTAGTTATGAGACCTATCTGAGAACATCCGAGGTGTGGTCCTAATATCTGACGATCATGCATGATTGACACCCCGCTGTTCAACACTCCTAGCCTGCTATGCCACTGATGCAGAACTAAACAAAAAAGCATGAGTGGAGTGAAAATAGGCTCTATGCAGGTGGTGTTATAGTCCTTGCAGTGTTCATGGCTTAAGAAGAACTTTAGAGCTAAAGAATTTTACTGAAAAGCTTTTATATGGTGGTGTCTTAAAGAAGAGAAGGTTCTTATTATTTTGCTGGATGTGCTTCCAGGGAACATGCACACATAGAATGCTGGCTTGGCCCAGTAAAACAATAGGTGGTAAGACAGATGAGCTAGCTTGACAGTTCAGTTATGCTTCCTAGGTTAGCTTTTACTTCGTTGTTAGCTTTCGCTTGATGCATTTCTGTGATTTGGACAAAGAAAGACCGTGGGAAATGAATAGTTTTGTTAAAGCTAAGTGATTGGTGTGATTAACCCAAATAGAAAGAAAACACGGTTTTAGGTTCCCTGGGGCTTTACTGTAGGTCTGAAAATGGTAAAGAACTGATCCATCTGGGTTCTTGATGAGGGTAACTGGTGTGACCTTGCATTTGCCCACCATTTGTTCAGTTCTCATCTTGTCATTTGTCCACAATTCCATTCTCACACATTGGCTCTCTGGATACTGCTCAGTGTTTTCATTAGTGCTCCTTCACACACCACAGACTGAACTTCTCGTAAAACTTAGTGACTCTTCCTGGCCTTCTCTCTGTGTGTGACCCAGCACAGTGTGAGACAGTTACCACCCTTCTCAAGCAAAGACACAGTCACTGTCACTTTAGCCCCAAAGGCCCTGAGGTGGCGGTCAGGCATGACAGGTGAAGAGTTTAGGAAACGTTAGGAGGAAAGCACAGTACATCCATTTCTCTCAACATTACTACATAATTAATACCTGTGCCAATCAAAAGTACAGAGCCAGCCAGGTGGGAGCAGGCAGCCTTATTTGTTATTCAAGAGTCACTTGGGCTAATTAGCAGCCTAATGGTGGAATTAA